TTCTCTGCTGCAATCAGTTGCTGGGATGTGGGCACAGGGAAGTAGGATAGCTGGATTCTATTAGGATCCTTAAAGTCTAAGGAGTTTTTGTACCTGGAGAGAAACACTAACCACCATCTGTGCTTTATTTGTTGTTTATTTACCTCACAAACCTACTTTAGCAAAATTGTCTAAACATTTAAACCTGATTGATATGCCCAATAAATCAAAATAGACATATTTTACAAATTAAATGATTTAAACTTTGATTGTAAACTTAAATCTTTGTATATATTTAGATAAGATCACCAGTATAATGTATTAACTGCTCTAAAAGCATGATTTTGGTAAAGCACACACATCTTACAAGGACCATGACATTTATCACACCTATACTTACACTTATCATAAAAACGTGTCTGTAGACTCAAGAGATGGACACTATTTCAGTTTAGATATTCAAAAAAGAACATTATCTCAGTGCAAGAGATGGACACTATTTCAGTTTAGATATTCAAAAAAGAACATTATCTCAGTGCAAATGAAGTTTTGTATTACTAATCAACAAATACCTGGTTGGGATCACAATCGGATCACATAAAATGACTAAAGTCTGAGCTAGTGCTTACCTTGTGTAGTGTGGAGATTTCTCAAGCCCACACTTTTTCCATGTGATTAGTGTTTGTTTTTTTTTTTTTTTTAGATTTCATTTATTCATTCATGAGAGACACAGAGAGAGGCAGAGACATAGGCAGAAGGGGGACGCCTCTGTGGCTCTGGTTGAGCACCTGCCTTAGGCTCAGGATGTGATCCTGGGGTCCAGGATCGAGTCCCGCATTGGGGTCCTTGCCAGGAGCCTGTTTCTCCTCCCTTTTCCTGTGTCTCTGCCTCTCTCTCTCTCTCTGTCTCTCATGAATAAATAAAATATTTTTTTAAAAAAAGACATAGGCAAAGGGAGAAGCAGGCTCTCTGTGGAGAGCCTGATGCGGGACTCGATCCCAGGACCCTGGGATCACGACCTGAGCCAAAGGCAGTTGCTCTACCACTGAGCCACCCGGGTGTCCCTCCATGTGATTAGTGTGTTGTAGCTGGATGCCTTTCCTTTAGATGATTCCATCTATAAGTTTAATGACTAGGATATTCCGAAAATGTCCATGCCCTGATCTCTGGAAACTTGAATTATGTTTCACAGTAAAAGGGACATTTTCATATGTAATTAAGGTTAAAATAGGGAGACTATCCCGGATTATCTAGGTGAGCCCTGGATTATCTAGGTGAGCCCAATCTAATCACATGATCACGTAAAATCAGAGAACTTTCTCCACTGAAGTCAGAGACATGGATAGGACAGGGAAATTCAAAGTGTACAAAGGACTTGGCCCAACACCGTTGGCTCAAAGATGGTGGGTACCAGGGACCTTAGTCCTCCGGCCATAAGGAACTAAACTGTAAATGAGCTTGAAAGTGGGTTCTTCCCCTTCAGCAAGGAAGGCAGCCCTTGCTTTTGACCTTATGAAACCGCAAGTAGAGAATCCAGTCATACTCTGCTGGACTTCTGACCTACAGAAAACTGTGAGATAATTGCTACGTGTTGTGTTAAGCAGCTAATGTGTGGGTGATTTGTTACACAGCAATGGAAAAACAATACAACGTCATTGTCATTATTTACAAATTTATGTAGCCCATTTGCACTTTCAAAAACATCTAGTTGTTTTCTCCTCAATATGCAGTTTCTTCTTCTTCCTCATTATAAAACTCCTGATGAAAAAAAAAAAAAACAACAAAAAACAAAACAAAACAAAAAAAACCCCAAAACCTCCTGATGTTCAGCTGAGCATGGCTGCCTGGAATAGACTCTACTTCCTAGCCTGTCTTTCTAGCCTGGTGTGGCCAGGTGTGACTAAATTCTAGGCAGTGAGAGGGATACACCTTTCAGAAGGCTTCTATAAAGGAGAGTGGTGTGCCCTTTCTTCCTTCCTCCTTCCTGCGGGGCTGGAAGGCTGATGTAATGGCTGGAGTGCAAGGAATCATCTTGGGCCATGAGACAGCATGCTAAAGACGGTAAAACGGCAAGAAGGGAAACTCAGCTGTGATCATCATAAACTGCGAGCCAGCCCTAGACTCTTTATTTGCAGATTCTTCTATGTGAGACAGAAACAATCTTTCTTGGTTAAGCCGTTATTTTGCGTTTACTGTTACTGCAATCTCATTGTAATTAGTATTGTACTATAGAGGCTCCCTTTCCCAGGAGATGATGGGTCACGTTTGAGCTATGAGCAGTTATCTTTTGGATGTTTGGCTAATTCATCATCTTGCAACACACTGTTGGACTCCCTTTCTTCCTAGTTGTAATATATGACCAGATGGTGCCAATCAGTCTTCTTCATTCTTGATACAGTTCCAACTTTCTCTGGAATTACTCACAGCTCTATGTTCACCCCTTGCTACTTAAACAGATAAGAGAAATGAGTGTGCCTTATGAAGAGATAAAATACCTACTATATTTATACTCTTCTACTTATCAGAATTAACTAAAAATACACTATTTGTTCTTTTCCACTTGGTATATTAACTATCTTTTTGCACACTTTATAGTGACTTTTTTCTTTTTGAATATCGCTACAGAGTACAGATTTTAAAAATTCACTTGTTCCAATTAATTATATTATTTCCTTTATTTTTTATTTTTTAAGATTTTATTTATTTATTTGAGAGAGAGAGTGCATGCGAGCTCAAGCAGGGTTGGGGCAGAGGGAGGGGAAGAGGGCAGGAGTAGACTCCCCATAGAGTGGGGAGCCTGAGGCGGGGCTTGATCCCAGGAACCCGACACCATGACCTGAGCTGAAGGCAGGAGCTTAACCAACTGAGCCACCCAGGCACCCCTATTATTTTCTTTTGATGATCAAATTGTCACAACATGTCAGGTGGGAGCATTTTAAGACGGATTCCTGTCTTTTCAGCTCTCCCTTATATAGTTTAAAAACTATCCTTGCTTTCTGTCATTGACATGTTCCTTTTTTCTTTTTAAGATTTTTTTTTTTAAAGAGTTTATTTATTTATTCATGATAGACACGAGGAGAGAGGCAGAGACACAGGCAGAGGGAGAAGCAGGCTCCATGCAGGGAGCCCGATGTGGGACTCGATCCCAGAACTCCAGGGTCATGCCCTGGGCTGAAGGCAGGCGCTGAACCTCTGAGCCACCTAGGGATTCCCTTCTTTTTAAGATTTTATTTAAAAAAAAAGATTTTATTTATTTATTCATGAGAGAGAGAGAAGGGAGACCAAGGCAGGGAGAAGCAGGCTCCCCATGGAGCTGAGAGCCTGATGCGGGGCTCCATCCCAGGACCCTGGGATCACAATCTGAGCTGAAGGCAGATGCTAAATGGACTGAGCCACCGAGGCACCCTAACAACACCTTAGAGTTATTTAAGACATGGAGCTATTCTCCAAGGGACACGGAGTTCTTTTTATTCATTTGTTTGCTTGCTTATTAAAGATTTTTAGTTTTAAGTAATCTCTACACCGAATGTGGGGTATGAACCTACAACCCCGAGATCAAGGATCCTATGTTCCACTGACGGAGCCAGCCAGGAGCTCTGCCCCCTGAGTTATTTTAAGGGTGAATACTATTTGAGGTGCTAAGATCTAGGTGCTAAGAATGCATATCAGATTTTTCCTGATGTTGTTTCCAGGCTGCTTTAGAGACAACATTTGAGAGAATTATTTCTTTTGAAAACCACAAATTCACATTGGTATTTCCTATTTAATCAAGCATTACTAATTTCCTTTTTTATTTGACTTGAATATGCAAGTTTACATTTATCTTCTCAACAACATACCTGCTTGTATCCTGTAACCCCTGATCCAAATTGTAATGGCATCTTGTCTCTTCAGTGATCCCGCAGTTTCCCATTGACCATCATTCTCTAGTTGCTTTACTGATAGGTTCATCCATACTGGGAGAACGGGACAGCATGGTAAGAGAGAGAAATTTTATAATACTGGCAGGAGAGCATTTGAAGGGATGAGTCACATCCAAGATGGTGGGAAGTTTAAGAAGGAGGACAAGGCAGCATAAATCAGGAGAAAGAAGAGAGTCTGAGGGATAGTCTGGAGCAGGTACAGTGAAGGTAGCTGAGAGAGCTGGGAGGACGGAGGTGGCTGTCAGAGTATGGAGTGGCTTAAGTTCAGATCACAAAGGTGGAGCAGTTCTGGGTGGTGGCCTTGTTACTGACATGTTCCATGCCTGGAGATCTACACTTGCTCATGTATGACTTTCTACCCGTACCCCCAGATGTCTAAGGAAGCTCAGTACACCCACTCTTGGCTAGAGCAAACATACACACCCCATGTCGTGGATGGGGAGGGGAGGGCCAGAGTCCATCTGGAACCTAGAACAGTTCTAGTTCACTGCCTGCTGGCTGCCCCAATGTCAATGAAACACATATACTGTGTTCAGGCTGGGCACAAGCTCTTCCTGCCCCACTGGCCACAGGCTCTGGGCCACTCTGTGGCCCTCCCCACTCTTCTGCTGCCTTAGCCCAATGGTGCTGGCTCAGCTTCTGATTGTGCTGGCCAAGATCTGTGATGCTTGGCACACCTCATAGGAAGGAGCCTGCAGGCTACACTGAGGCTGGTCCATCTGGGCCCCTGTGGGGACCTGTCAGGCTCACCTGTGCCACCTGTCCCCAAATAGCACTGAGCAGAAAGCTGGGGGTGGAGGAACAGGAAGAGCAGAGTCTGCAAAGTAGCACAGGCCTCCCTACCTGCCAAACCCTGCAGGCACAAAGAGATGCAGTGGGAGCCTGGGGGTGGGAGGGGAGGTAAGAGGGGCCAGGTCCCCAGACACCACAGCTCTAGTCTTCACCTTGGGTGTTAGGCACAGGGTCCCATGCAAGAAGGTTGAATATAGGCAGCCAGAGGGAACCTCTCTTCTTCCCCAAAGATGCTGCTTTAGGGGCAGGAGAGGACAGAAGTCAGAGGTCAGGGGTTAGATTCTGGTCCTTGAAAGGCTTGAACCTTTAGAGTGGGAAAATGAGGAAGCCAGAGAAGCTTGAATATTTCCAGCCACCCAGTAGGTTCCCCCGACGCAGGCGCAGGGACACCCGGTCCCCGGGGTCCAGGGGCAGTAACACGGAGCTGGTGGCTGCCTCTCGAGTCACATCAGGGTCGTTGGCAAAGGCTGAGATGACAGGCCATGTGTTCAGCATCAGGCTCACCTGGGGAGGTGAGTCCAGTTAGCTCTTCTCCGCAGCCCTCTTCCCAAGACCCCACTTTCCCAAGGGCTTCTTCTTTTCTCCAGTTCCCAAGGGCTCAGTGCAATCTGGTAGGAGGGCTGAGAGGTGGTCACTGTTGGACTCTACTTCCTCCACCCTCGCTGCTAGGCTGGCCCTTTCCTCCCTTGTTCCTGCCCGCTTCCTCCCCACCCCATCCATGGAGGGTCTACCTATGAGTCAGCTGGACTCCACTTATTCCCCCTCCCTCTCCTCCCCTCCTGACCCACGACAGGGCCCCAGCACACAGGTCACCTGGACAGTTTGGCGGTTGTACACCTTCACCACATGGAACCGGAAGCTATAGACACCACGGACAGGGGCCACGAAGGAGCCTGAGGCGCGGTCAAAGCCACCACCCTCATTTACCAGGACCTGTGGGAAGCAGACTTTGCTGAGTAGGGTTCAGGAAACCACTGGGCTGTGGGGTGGGGCAGTGAGTAAGGAAAAGAAAGGGTGGCAAGGAGATAAGAACAGGGAGGAATGCACAGATTCAAACGAAATGGTGAGAAAGGACAAGGTGGGATGTGGGTGGGAGTGTAGGGAAGGGAGCCAGGCAGTAGGGTTGAGGGGCAGCTGGTTGCAGAAGGGGGCTTTTCCTTAAGAGCAAAGTGGTTTTGGGCGGTGGATTCCAGGTCCTTATAGGTTGTCTGGACAAGGGCAAGGGGATTACCTGGTCAAAGTAGATGGCTCCACTGGTGCCATTGCTGATCTCTCCTGCTGGCTCATGGTGGTGGCTGCGGACTGCAGCAAATGCCACTCTTCCGGGGGGTGCCTCTCCCAGGGCTGCTCCCCCAGGCCCTCCTGCAGCTGCTCGGCCAGGCTCACAGACCACCAGACACTCGCCCTCCAGCAGGACAGGCTCTGCCCCCTCTTGGGCCCATCCACACCCTAAGGTCAGGAGCATCAGTGCCAAGGGCACCCTGGGGCTGAGTAGGAGACCTGGTAACCAGTGTTGCTTTGCTCCCAGCATGGCTGAGGGGCTCTGTGACCCGCAAATCCTCTTGTCTCCTGCCCCTTCTTGCTGTTCCTTTCAGTTCCCACTTCCCTCAGACTCTCACTACCTTAGCTCCGCCCCTCAGCCCTCTCTCTGGGTCTCAGTGTTCCCTGGGCTCAGCATCTCTCTCCATACCTCTCTGTGCCCCACGACTCTGTCTGTCCTGCTTCTCTCTCCTGCTGTCACTGCAGTTCCCTCCTCCTTGGCAGGGTATGAAGTGACAGCAGCAGTTGGGCTCTAGGAGGGAGAGGAAGGATGAAGCAGCCATTCAGGAGGGCTACAGCCAGAGCCCAGGGCAGCCCTTCTGGAGGGCACTGAAGGCTGCATCTGGGACAAGAGAGAACTTGCTATGCATCTAACAGTGTACCTGTGCCCATGAGAATGTGTGTGTGTGAGTGTGCACGTGTGCACAAGACAGCCCTACAGCCCCTTCTTTCTCCTTGTTCCTCCTATCTTCAAAATCCCTCACTAGTCAACAGCCCTCTCCGTGGCCCCTTTCTGCGGCTGCAAGAAAGTGGGCGCCCTTGTCTTTTCCCTACAACTGTCTGGGTGGAAAGTGCTTGGGCCAACGGTATCCGTATCGTGTGACCGTGGGCCAGTCTCTTTCTCTCTTTGGTCTTCCACGTCTTCATCTGAGGGTACTGGATTAGTCCCTTTAAGGCCCTCTTCGCCTCCAGCTCTCAACGAGTGGCTCTTCTCTCCCGAGAAACAGCCGCTCAGAATGCACGAGAAACAGGCAGAGGCGAGCCCCTCAGGCAGGCTGGGAGGTGGAGCCCGAGGGAACTGCGGGCGAGTGGGCGGGGCGCGGGGCGGGGCCGGAGCCGGGGGCGGGGCCGGAGCCGGGGGCGGAGCCGGAGCCGGGGCGGGGCGGGGCCGGGAGCGGGGGCGGGGCCGGAGCCGGGGGCGGGGCCGGGGCCGGGCCGGGGCGGAGCCCGGAGACTGGCGCGCGCTAGGGCCCGGAGCCGGCCCAGGGCGGGGGGGGGGGGGGGCCCTGGCTGACTCCACCCCGGGCCAGGAAGTGACTCAAAAAGCTGTTCGCGAGGTGAAGACCGGTCCCCGTTGGGGGAGGACTCCGGGAGGGCCCGCCCAGATTCCGCCCCGTCCCGCCCTTCTCCGCGGGGCCTGCAGGCACCGGGCGGCGCCGGCGGGACCGAGGCCCGAGCGGGCGGCCGAGCCGGGTAGGCGCGCTCTCCCCCGCGCCGGGGCCCCGGGAGCCGAGCCCGACGCCCCAGGGCCGAGCGGCCGGGGGGAGGGGCGGCCGGGGGCGGCGGTGTGGGCGGCACCCGGCCCGGCCCCGGGCCCGGGCGGGGCCGGAGCGCCACCGAGACGGGCTGCGGGCTGCGGGCTGCGGGTTGCGGACCGCGGAGGGAGGGGGGTGGGAGGGGCTAGAACCCTGGAAATGGCAGACCCGGGGCTCCGGAGGACTTGCCAAGTCAAGCCCCAGATCCGTCCGTAGGAGGCCGCGCTGGACCCGGAGACTGCAGAGCCCCGAGGAGAGGGACAGTTTTGTCATCTGTGCACTTCTGGCCTCCGGACCGAGCTGGAGCCCCCCCCACTCTTCCCGCTTGGGGCCGTGGTCAGCCTTTTCCAAAGGCCAGATGCCCATCCCTAGTAGGCAGCCTTGTGTGCTCAAGACTTCCTCTGGGAGAGAAGACTCGGTTCTGGATAATCTGACGTTCCCTTCCTAGACGGACCCAGGTTGTTTACTAGATTGGTGACTAGGTGCGACCTGTTGATAGCTGGTGTAGGCCGGGAGAGCAAAATTTGGTTTGAGGGGATGAGGAGGCACTGAGCTGGCTTCCCTCCTTCCAGGGCTGGGTGGCCAAGCAGCCATGCCCACCTGGGGGGCCGGCTCCCCGTCCCCTGATCGCTTTGCCGTGTCTGCGGAGGCTGAGGCCAAGGTGCGGGAGCAGCAGCACTACGTGGAGCGTATCTTCAGCGTGGGGATGAGTGTCCTACCGAAGGACTGTCCCGAGAACCCTCACATCTGGCTGCAGCTGGAGGGCCCCAAGGAGAACGCCAGCAGAGCCAAGGTGAACACCCCTCTCTGACCCTTCGGGGAACAATGACTCCCTCCCCTACACAGAGCCAGAGGAGAGGAGGGGCTGCTGGGGAGGATCTCTCCGCTCCTTGGTTGTCTTACTGGCAACCTCAGTGGCTCTGAGCTTTGAGGGACTTTGCAAATCTGTATTGATCTGGAGTTTTGGTTTCATTTCAGCCGTGTTGAGCCAGGTTCTGCCAAGACTTAGACAGGTGATTCCACTCAAATCAGCTGTGCTGTTTGGGAGATTGGAGATAATCCAGTTGGGCAAGCAGGCCCTACCAAGGAATTCACTGGGGGATGGGAGGCCAGGCCACATTGCTTCCTTCCACCAGAGGTTCCAGACAGCTCCACCACCTACCAGCCCTGTGGGGGAGTCTCCCATTTCCTTATCTATGAAATGTGAATAATAGCAGTGTCCCCCTCATTAGGCTTACTGTGAATGGGGTAAAGCATGAGTTCAGCAAAAGTTAGCAGTGACAATCATTATGGTGGACATAAACAATACATATACGCATAAATATTTAGAGAGACAGCCTCGTTAATTATATTCAGTTAACTATAATAGTATCTCAAATTGAGTCAAGTTCTAAATGGAAGTATGAACCATAGACTATCAGCTAAACAGAAAAGTAGATTCTTGATCCTTTTTTTTTTTTTTTAATTTTTATTTATTTATGATAGTCACAGAGAGAGAGAGAGAGAGAGAGAGAGAAAGAGAGGCAGAGACACAGGCAGAGGGAGAAGCAGGCTCCATGCACCGGGAGCCCGATGTGGGATTCGATCCCGGGTCTCCAGGATCGCGCCCTGGGCCAAAGGCAGGCGCCAAACCGCTGCGCCACCCAGGGATCCCTTGATCCCTTTTTTAATCCTTACCTTTTTCAGCATCTGTGGGGCTCCATTGCTCTGTCCAGGCTTCTTGGAACTTGGTTGGGGGCGGGGGGTGCAATGGGCTTAAAGGGGCTACTGGGCCATGTAGAATTCCAGCAATCTCCTTTTTTCCTTTCGTTCTCTCCCCCCTCCCCCACTCCTCCATTGCTCCCCTAGGAATTCCTGAAGGGTCTTTGCAGCCCGGAGCTGCAGGATGAAGTCCACTACCCACCCAAATTGCACTGCATCTTCCTGGGAGCCCAGGGCTTCTTCCTTGACTGTCTGGTCTGGAGTACAACAGCTCACCTGGTGCCAGGGCCGCCCGGCTCGCTGATGGTCAGTGGCCTGACCGAGGCTTTTGTCATGGCTCAGAGCAGAGTGGAGGAGCTGGTGGAGCGGCTGAGCTGGGACTTTTGGCCAGGGCGAGCCCCTGGAGCCTCTCAGGGTGCTGGCGTGCTGAGAGACTTCTCTGCCCTGCTGCAGCCCTGTGGGGATGCCCACAGAGAGGCCCTGCTACAGCTGCCCCCGGCCGTCCAGGAGGAATTGTTGAGCCTGGTGCGGGAGGCATCTAGGGGGCAGGGGCCCCATGCACCACCCCTCTGGGATAGGGTGAGCCCAGGCTCACTGGGTGCTCAGTACCAGGGGGTCAGAGCTCCCTTGAGTGAAGGCAGGGAGTCCGTGGACCCTGGACCTATGGGGTGGCGAGAGTCAAGGGGAGAGAGACATGTTATGGAGAAGGAGGGAGGGAAGCAGGGTCCTCCCAGGGCGATGGATTTGGGGTGGAAGGAGCTGCCTGGGGAAGGGGCCTGGGAGAAAGAAGGGGCTTTCAGATCACAGTCAGAAGGAGGAGTGCCAGGGCAGGTAGGACCCCTGACAGCAAAGGCCCTCGGGCAAGAGGGGATGCCTCAGGACAGAGGAAGTTCGTTCTGTGTCCAGGGTGAGCCTTCTGGTGCCCAGGGCCCCTATCAGAGGGCAGCTCAGCCCCGGGGAGCCTCCCTCCTCCAGCGGCTACACAATGGGAGAGCCTCACCCCCAAGGGTGCCTAGCCCTCCGCCCGCACCCGAACCCCCATGGCACTGTGGGGACCGAGGAGACAGGGGAGACAAGCAGCAGGTGGTGGCTCGAGGTCGTGGGTCTCCATGGAAACGAGGCACTCGCGGGGGCAACTTGGTGACTGGCACTCAGCGTTTCCAGGAGGCCCTGCAGGACCCTTTCACCCTGTGCCTCGCCAATGTGCCTGGCCAGCCGGACCTCCGTCACATTGTCATCGATGGCAGCAATGTGGCCATGGTGTGAGTACCCCGGTGGGCCTGAGGATCCTGGGGAGGGGGGATGCTACGAGCGGAGTTGCTGACCTTGGGGACATGGGCCGAGAGGCCCCTGCTCTGGGGCCCTAGAGTGCTGACCCCTTCCCACCGCAGGCATGGCCTCCAGCACTACTTCTCCAGCCGGGGCATTGCCATTGCTGTGCAGTACTTCTGGGACCGGGGTCACCGTGACATAACTGTCTTTGTGCCTCAGTGGCGCTTCAGTAAGGATGCCAAGGTCAGAGGTGAGTTGGGCCTGGTCTTTTGTAACCTGGGAGAGGCCATGCTTCAGCTTGAGGATAACCCCGTTGTGCTCCTCTGTTTCTCTAGAGGGCCACTTCCTGCAAAAGCTGTACTCGCTCAGTCTGCTCTCCCTCACTCCCTCCCGAGTCATGGATGGCAAGAGGATCTCCTCCTATGACGATAGGTACTTGCTTCTCTCCTGGCCCCAGCCTTGAGATTCAAGGCCCCTCCCACGGTGGGGGCCTGGGGAAGAGAAAGAAGCTCCTGTCTGTGCTGTGTCTAAGCCTGGGTAACAGGAAAATGGCCAGTTATTCCTCCGTGTGCCTGTACGAATGGGCCGGTAAACCTGCCCTGCAGGCGCGATGAGGCAGGTGGTAGACAACTGTGTTGGCCCATTCATTCTTCATTCATCAAACTGAGTGATGTCTTGTATTTATGTTAGCTGGTGACGTAAGTAACTGACAGGTACCTTCTTACAACACAGATTTCCAAACACGAAGAGAAATTCCACAACA